TATTTTTATAAAAAATGCCTCCGTATAGAATGGATAGAAAATCTGCTAGAATAAAAGCAGAGTTAGAAAGATATGGCTGGAAAGTTTCAAAGAAGTTTAAATATAGGAGGGGAAGACCCATAAAAGTCTATGACAAACTATCTGATCTTCGCTATGAAATGGACTTAGAAACAGCGCGCGCCAACTATCCAAACAGACTTGAGAGGTTAGAAGAAGAGCGTCTTATGGATATGCCTTTCGATGTTACTGAACCTCAAGTTGAAGGACACGACGGCTTTGCCAGATTCTACTGGAAACATAACGAACAATTGTATCCTTTGAGAAGGAAAAAAGGAAAAGGTGAAGACAAACATGCTCCCATGGAAAGAACAAGATATGCATATGAAAAGTATCGCGAAGTTCGAAGTCAAATTACTTCTGGTCGAACCTTTACAGTAAACTTTGAAGAAGGAAAGAACAAAGAAGGCTTCATGGGAGTACTTGCTGCCATACAAGACGGAAATAAGAAAGGATACAATCTCAGACTAACCGTAACAGATTTGGACGGTCATATATACTACTCACATGGCAATGTCACAACAGCTGCAATGCTTCTTGACGCTTTCAAGACTACAAAGAGAGAACAAATGTTTGACTCCGACTCAGACATCTTAAATGCGATTGAAGGAATTGCAAGCGTGAAGTTCGAATGGTATCAACCCAACCCTCAAGCAGTCAGACAATATGCTGGATACTTCCCGTTCATAAACAAGTCTGACATTAACCTGACAAGGTATGGAATTTACAATTCAATTAAAAAAATTGTCAATGAACCTTGTATTCTTACATGTCTCAGGAACTCTGGTCTTGTTACAGATGAGAAGATGAAGTATCTTGAGTCATGTGTGAAGACAAGGTACATTCTCAGAGGTCAATTGGCAAAGATTGCACCGTTGGCAAATGTGAATATCCGAGTCAACATTCCGACTGAGAAAGGTTCTTCACATGACGACTATGTTATTGACTTCAAATTACCATGGTTGAAGATTGTACTTGTCCACAACCACTTCATGTTGAACGAAAGTCTTACAAACCCATTGTTCGGAAAAGGCAAGTGCAACATTGTCAGAGCTGTTAACATTCTTTTCGAGAAAGGTTTGTTGGAACCGATTCCAGATGACAAGCTGACAGAAACTTTTGTACCAAAAGACGAAACAAACTTTTCATTGTTGGTAAGACCAAAAGTTGTTCCAGACAAAGTTCTAGCACAGAAGAAGTACACAGCTCCAAAAGGAGTTGGATTGTTCGGATACCAACCTGAACCAGAAGAACTTCCAATGAGGTTGCAAGAACTTCAAGATGCTATAAACAAACTTCCATTGAGAAATCCAGTCGACGTCAAATTGTATTGGAGAGCATCTGAGTTAGGTCAGAAAATTTTATATGAAACAGGTTGCTTTGACGATGTTTATGAGATAACAGGAGAAGTTTCTCAGAAGATAAGAGACTCGCTTGAATTTCCACGAACTGGTCCGATTGGATGCGATAAGTTCGACTCATACGAAAAAATATACTATGTCGACCTTAACGCTGCGTACATGAGGTTCGTCCAATATATTCCAACTGGAATTCCAAACGAAAATGGCGAGTTCCCGGGAAAGAACTATACAGTTGGAAAAGTCATACAACAACTATATGATATTAGGAAAGCTTCAAACCCCAAACTTGCAATGACAATCAAATTGCTTATGAATTCGACATGGGGATATTCCATTAAAAAACCTCAAAAGATGAAGAGTAAACACTATGAGAAGGTCGACAACTTTGTTGAAAGGTTTTCTCCTTTTGTTTTGAAATACGAATTTACTCAAGGTCAAAATGGCTTAGTAACCACAGTAAAACCTATTGTCGAACATTGGTCTTATCCTCAGTTCGCAAAAGCAGTCCTTGACAACTACAACAAATTTTTCTCAGAGGTTAAATCCAAAGTGAAGGTATACTATGAGAACATCGATGCACTCATGACGAACGAAGAAGGGTATAACAAACTCATTGAAATGGGTTTAGTCGGTGAGAAGATGGGCTGTTTTAAGCTAGACAAGGTATTTTCCGAAGTTCATGTCCTCTCCAAGCGTAAGTACTGGGGTGTGCTTGAAGACGGCACAGAAATAAAACATTGCATGAAGTAAAAACATTGCATACCATTTTAAAACATTTTTTAAAACAGTATATTTTTACATATATAAAATGCTTCAGGTTGAAAAACAAAGAACAAAAGTAGCAGATACAAAACCGTTAGACTATATCTTTACAAACGCTGGTAGGACTATTTCAGATGAAGAAATTTCATCCGGATCTTACAGATTTGACTATCCAATTCGTTGGCTTCAAAGTCCTTCAGATGCAAAGGCAATAGGATTTAGAAGAGTTTTGTTTTCAAATAGAACTAACGCTTTTATGTTCGCAGTATATTTTCACGGTCAGTATAAAGGTTCTGATGGTCTAATAGAAAAATTTGACGAAATGAGAATCTTTACAATTCGTTCAGACGAAAGTCTTGAAAAAACTCTAAATGACTTTCAAACTCAAATAAACAAATACTACTGGGAATTTCAAGAAAAATACCACTCTTTACTAAATGGAACATACTATCTAAAGCTAGAATACGACAAGATGAATTCCACAGTTTCATTTCAAAGGATTGAAAATAACCCTCCAAGAGATACAGAGTTTTTATATTGGGGGGTGGACAAACGTTCTTGGGCGCAATTTCTTCGGTTACTAAACCAGAACGAACCATTGCCACCTGACGGTCCGTTTAAATTTATACTTCCACCAACAGATTTGACAGTTTATAAAAACGTGTTTGACCCTCAAAATGTTATATGTCATGCAAGTTTCAGTTCAAGCAACAACAGTTTTCTATGTATCGGTAAGGACTTTTATGACTTTGCTTCTAAATTCTACGAACCACCTAGTAACAGTTTCTCTGACTTTCAAGTCTGGTTCACAACAAACGGTGTGCAGCATATTATTCCATTGTACTATGACTTTTATCTCGAATTGTCTTTCATATACAACTACGGAAAAGTGCTGAAAAAGTATTGAAAAATATATTTTAGGTGAAGAGGTGAGATCTCACCTGTTTTCTCACCTGTTTTTTCACCCTCTTGAATTTTCATGAATTTCCTTAAGATAGAAAAAAAGTGAGTTAAAATGAGATTTTTATCGTTGTGGTCCGACGGTTAAGCCACAAACGAATGTCCGACGGTTAAGCCAAAAATATTTTTTATTTTTATTGTAAGAACAGTATGACAGTCGAAGCAAAAACGTTCACGAACAAATCTAATGGCGAAACATTCACAAAAGGCACCTATAACGGTATTGAAGTCTTACGTAGAGACAAGGATGGTTATATAAATGCAACAAAGATATGTCAGCAGTTTAGGAAAGACTTTAGAAGGTTGTTGGAAAATAAGTCCTGGGAAGAGTATTTTAAGGCATTTTGTGAAGAATATACCAACCCGCGGAATTCCGCGGGTTGCTTTTTATACACAGTTCATGCAGGAATTCCCGATGAAATCAAACAGGTTAGAGGAACGTATGTAGACCCAAGACTTGTAAACTATATAGCAATGTGGGCTTCTCCAAATATTGTATAGCAGTTGGAAAAATTATGGACTCCATAGACAAGAAAGTTCATGAGAAATTAGATGAAGAAGAACTTGAAGATACAGCAGAGAATGCAAAACCTTTGTTCGAAGAAGAAGTTAGAAAAATGCATGAAAAACAAATAGAACATGAACGTGAGATATGTTCTGGTTATAGAGACTCTCCATACGAACTAGACCAATGGGAACAAGAAGATTTAAAGAGAGAATTTAGAGAATATGAACTCGCTAAAGTTTCATTAGAAGCTGCAGAAGAGAGGTTAAAAGGTTGGGGTCCTTTTGTACAAAAATATTGTGAGTAAATGAACCATTTTATTTTTATTGAATTCGGCAAAAATATATTTTAGGTGTCACTACGTCACCAGGTCACTCGGTCACTCGGTCCCTCGGTCATTTTAACTTCTCTGAAAAAGTGTGACAACATGACATTTTGACAACAACACAGGAAATAGACTTCTTCGTCAATGTTTTGTATAAAAAGCACCTGCCGGAATTCCGGCGGGTGGTATATTCTTCACAAAATGCTTGTTTTGTTGAGACTTCATCGTATATGTTTTGTATAAAAAGCAACCCGCGGAATTCCGGCGGGTGGTATATTCTTCACAAAATGCTTGTTTTGTCAAGACTTTCATCGTATATGTTTTGTATAAAAAAAGCACCTGCCGGAATTCCGGCGGGTGGTATATTCTTCACGAAATGCTTGTTTTGTCAAGACTTTCATCGTACATGTTTTGTATAAAAAGCAACCCGCGGAATTCCGCGGGTTGGTATATTCTTCACGAAATGCTTGTTTTGAGGTCGAGCCATTTTTGGCTCCACCTGTTTTTTCAACCAAAGCTCATTTTTTTCGGCAAAAATATATTTTAGGTGAAGTGGTGAGATCTCACCTCTTTTTTCACCTCTTTTCTCACCCGTTGAATTTTCATGAATTTTCCCGAAATAAAAAAAGTTAGTTTTTTTTAAAAAAATATTTTTTATTTTTATTGTAAGAACATGTTAGCAACAACAGCACCAAACTCGTTAGTCATGAACCCAACTTCAATGTTAGTAGAGATGAAAAGCTTCATTCCTTCTTCATATACTTTCGAAACAGAAATCCAGAAGATAAAGCAAGAACTTCTCCAAGGAGATTTAGACTGTAGTGCGAAAGATGAAACAAATGAAGAATATCTTTATGAAATGCAGGATATTATTGACCATCTACCTAAACTTCCTGAAATACAACAACAAAAGCTTACTATTCCAGAATTCGATGAAATAGAAGTCAAAGCAACTGACTCAGTAGAAACCAAGAAGTTCATACGTAAGGTAAACTATGAGTTTCTTGGATTTCATTGCAACCACAAAGTCATGGACAAAGACTGCGATATGGTATATAAGAACATCTCTGACATATACAAATCTGAAGAATTTAAGACCTACGACAACTTTGTTTCGTTAGTTGCAAAATGTGTATGGCAGATAAGAGATAAAGATAAAAGAGGTAAAGTATGGAACGAACAGATAAAACCAGCAACTTTTGAGTTAAAGAAAACCATTGACGCCTTAGTTGTTCTAGCTGGTTTTATTTCAATGTACAATGCTAAAATGAACCCACAATGTTCAAAATGTAAAGCAGCAATGAGGAAATATAACTACTCCGTCAAAGAGATAGAACGTATGCGAAACGACTATGCTGATTTAAAGGAAGAAGCAGAGAAACCAGCAGAAGATAAAATGGACATGTTGACATTTCTGAACAAAAACTATCCAACAGCTGACGATTTCCTTCTATCTGATGTCAAGAAGAAATATAAAGAAACATTCGGCATAGTTAAAACATTCGATATCCTCAGCGAAGAAATAGAAGCTACAAAACTGTTTAGAATTTCAAATATACATCGTACAATTCATGTAAAACGCTTGTGAAAAAGAGGTGAGAAAAGAGGTGAGAAAACAGGTGAGATCTCACCTCTTCACCTAAAATATATTTTTGCTGAGTAAATGACCAAATTTCATGAATTTCCTCATATGTTTGCTACCCCGACTTTTTTCGGCCTTGCATAAAACTCTATGAAATCATGAAAAAATGACCAAATTTCATGAATTTCCTCATATGTTTGCGACCGGTGGAAAACCGCGGGTCGAGATTCCGTACGAAAATCGTAAAAAATTGCGACCCCGACTTTTCCCGGGGTCGCCTAAAACTCATGAAAATCGTAAAAAATTGCGAGTACGGAAAAAACCGTAGTCGCCTAAAACTCATGAAAATCGTAAAAAAACTCTATGAAAACAGTGAAAAAATGCGAGTGGGAGAAAAACCCTGGTCGCCAAAACTCTATGAAAATCGTAAAAAAACTCTATGAAATCATATCTTTTATACAAGATAGAAAAAATAAAATTAACGCTAGTTTTTTTAAAATATTTTTTTTTATTTTGTATGTAAGAACAGGAAATGACAAGCACTGAGTTTGAAACAGTTAGAAAGATAGACAATGAGACCAAAATAGTTAGAATAGGTGATTTAAACGTAAGATACTCAAAGAAATACAAAAAATATTCTTTGTCAGACATTTTAACACTATCTGAAGGAAAGAAAGCACACGACTGGGTTAAAAATGCTTCAACTCAGAAAATTTTGACAAAAAATCCTGAGCTTATGATATCGGTAAGATTCTATGGAACAAGAGCATATCTTATAGACAAAAGTCTTATACCAGTAGTTTTGTTCTGGATTGACCCAGTTGTTGGATATAATTTCATAACATATGGTTCATTCGATACAGAACGTTGCTGTGAAGGCTTACTTTACATCGTTCAGAAACCGAAGGACTTCAATACAAAGAGATATAAGATAGGAAGAACATTTAATATAACTCAAAGATATGACAGTATAGTCAATAGAGTTAAGGTTGCGTTTGTTAACGATATGAGAGCTGCTGAAACAGAACTACTTGAAAAGTTTGAGAAAATGTATGGTGCTCCCACGAAAGGTAAAGAAACGTTTGAAGTAGATGAGATCGACAAAGCTATAAAATTATTTGACGAAGTTGCTGAAAAATACATGTAAAGCGTTTATTTTTGGTCTTTTATACAAGATAGAAAATAACGCTAATTTTATTTTTTTTTATTTTTTTATTTTGTATGTAAGAACAGAAATGTCAACAACAGAGAACACAACAACTGCTATCGTTCATGAAGCCATAAGTGAAGAATACGAGTACATACAGTTTAACAAACAGTTACGTCTCATTCGTTCGGTCAAAGATGACATGTACCAAATGCAAAGTATTTTGAATGCTCTTCGTTCTACAAAGCAAGCATACCATTGGTTTGAAAACCAACAGACAAAAGAACTTTTAGAAGAATTTCCTCATATGTTTGCGACCTCGGAAAACCGAGGGTCGAGATTCCGTACGAAAATCGTCAAAATTTGCCAAATGGTTTGAGAGGTTGGTATGTACATAGACTTCTTGTAAATGCTGTTGCAATGTGGGCTTCACCTCGCTATGCTTGTTATATTTTCATGATGTTAGATGAATTCATAGACAAGAACGTGAAGAGCTAGAGAACAAGCTTGAAGCAAAAGACAAAAACATACAGAAAAGAATACCACGTTCGGTACCAAAAGGAAAGGAAAAGAACTATAAGTATATGATTTACACTGAAGAGATGGAAAATGAAGAAGACAGAGATATGGTTATGTTGCATTTAGTCAGAAGAAACAACAAAAGCTTTTACGACTTGCTAAGATTTACAAATCTGATAGAAATTGGTTCTATCGCGAAAACTTACCGATTTCAATGACACCAAATGAAGATGTTAAACAGATAGTTCAAGATACGTTACCTCAAACACACTATGATATGAAAGGTTGTACAATACTTACATTCAAAGAAGATTTGCCGCTACTGAAGGAAAAGATAACAGAGTATTTCGATAACTTCAAAGAGGAAGAGTAAATGAACCATATATTTTTCAAGCTTGACACCAAAGATGGCTCAGGTAGCTCTAGATGGTAAATTGTCTTGTCAAATCCTTCTGGCATTCCGAGTCCTTCCTTCCAACAGGAAAAAAATTTCCTTCCAACAGGAAAAGTTTTTCCTTCCAACAGGAAAAAAATTTCCTTCCTACAGGAAAAGTTTTTCCTTCCTACAGGAAAAAAATTTCCTTCCTACAGGAAAAGTTTTTCCTTCCTACAGGAAAAAATTTTCCTTCCAACTGGAAAAATTTTTCCTGTTGTCCGTCCGTAAACCATTCAAATTTTCGAAAATTGAGAACTTTTTGGCCGACCTTCAGGAAAAATTTTTCTTTCCTTCAGGAAAAATTTTTCTTTCCTTCAGGAAAAATTTTTCTTTCCGACAGGAAAAGTTTTTCTTTCCGACAGGAAAAGTTTTTCTTTCCAACAGGAAAAGTCCTTCCTTCCGACAGGAAAAGTCCTTCCTTCCAACTGGAAGAACTCTTCCTTCCGACAGGACACAAACGAATGTCCGACGTACCACCAACCGAGTCCATTCCAAAGCCAGAAGAACCGACAGCCCCAGCACCACAACAGACTAAGACTCAAACACTTACATTTTTACGCTTGACTTTTTACAATTTGAACTTTGTTCGCGTAGATGTGAATTCTGAAAGAAGTATGAGGGTCTTGTATGACTTTGTACTTCTCCCATAGTTCATGTCTGTCAAACTTACCTGCCATGGACTCTTTCATAAGTTCCATGAAATCGTCTTCGGACAATCCGGGGAAAAGTATGATATCAGTAAGTATTCTCTTTACATCCTTACTTAAACTCTTGGCTGTCTGTACACAAATGACAACTGAAATGTTAAAGTGTCTGAGCTTCTTGAGAATTCGACACATGTCTTGTTCTCTGTTCTTTAACAAAGGATGAGAAGCAAAGTCATCTAAGATAAGAAGACACCTATGAGGGTAAGTCTTCCAATCGTAAGATTGCAATTTCTTCGAAAGGTACTCAATCTCTTTCTGTTTGTTTCTGAAGTGTTTCTTCTCTAATATTCTCTGCATTTCCTCATTTGGGTCTTTAAACTTAGAATTGACATACTCATTTATAGCATTGTACTTCAAAACTCTTCTTTGGTACTTCTTTATCCAATCTAACAACTCAGTATCTTTTATACATACTAACTTAGACTTTTTTATAATATCTTTGAACGAATTGACGGTTTGGTCAAATTGACCAGAAGTACTACAAATGACTACTAACTCATAGAATGGGTTCTTCTCATCTAGTTCTTGTTGTTGTGCAGCCATTTTAAGATAAGTGAAAGTCTTACCCGACCCAGGCGGTGCGATTAGACCTGTTATACCATTCTGAGCAAATAAGAACTTGTCATGTATGGGTTTTATCTGAGCATTTTCCAACTTCCTCTTGTTCTTATTTAAAACATTCTCAAATTTCTTGTCAATGTCAGCAAACTTTTTTTCTAACATATTTTTAGAAAAATTAAAATTTTTATCTTTTAGGAAATGTCTAGCGATTTCGCTATCTATATTCGAGACAAGCTTTTCGACAGCAAAACATCTGTCGACCATAAAATCTTACATAGTGTAAACAAGAAAGGGAATTTGTTCTAAAGTTCTGTTTCTGGGAATATGACAAGAACCATAAAACCTTAAGCAGAGAAGTCTTAAAATTTGTCAATGACAGACTTGTTGACAGAGATGACGCCTCTTGGAGAGATGAAGTCCAACAAAACTTCTTAGAATGCAATGCGCTGTTCTTGAAAATGAAATAGAAAACAGAATAGAAGAGCTATTAAATGACAAAGCACTTTTACAAAAATATGGTTCTGAGAAGTTTGACATAACTCCACCAGAGAAGAAGAAGAGAGAAAAGAAAGAAAAGAAAGTAGAAGAAGAGAAGAAAGAACCAGTTCCAGAGAAGGGGAGATATGACATGTAAAAATAAAATTTTATTTTTAGAACATTTCTGGGTCAATGTCAATGTTCTCTTCCTCTTTAGGAGCAAACACTGGCTTAGACTCTAAAATCTTTTTACCCAATTTACCTTGAACTTCAACTATCTTAGACTCATAATATTCATAGTCGTCTGCTTTCTTTGGTTCATAAGGTATAACAAGTTTGTATGCTTTGCCTTCTTTAAGGTTTGAAAACCTTCTGTCAAAACTTTCTTTGACTGTTAACAAACCTTCTATGTCTAAGTCTTCAAATTTCGCACCATTTTTAGTCACAATAGCAAACTTAACTGGTTCGATGTTCCAAACTTTGTCAAATGTAGACTTTTCAAAATGGTAGAAGTAAACATTCAAATATGTGAATGGGTCTAGTTCTTCTTTAAGTCTGACATGTACTTGTTGACTGAGATGAATTTCGTCATCTTTTCTATCGGATAAAAAAAATATTTTTTTTAAAATTTACTCAGAAAAATTTTTCTTTGTATATACACCATTCTGAACATCTAAAAGACTTTTGACATTTGCCAAGAATGTTCGTTTAGACGCTGTCATATAACCATACTCTTGACAATACTGTTTATACGAATCGTACAATGACCTTTCATCTAAACACTCAAAGTCAGTTTCATCTATGAACAGTTCATATACACTCTTGTTTGCTTCTAACAATGTTTGTCTCTCTTCGGTATGTGGAATTTGTCTTGGATTGAACTTAGAAATATCTAATGTCATGAAATATGAGAACAAGTGGTTGTAAAAGTTAGGTGTCAAAGTTTCTGCTAAGTCGTCAAAATATTCTGTATCTTGCATATGAGCTTCTGACGTTCTGACAACTACATATCTTCTGTCAGAACTTTCTAACTTCATCGGAACGGCGTTGTTTGAAACCATGACGAAATTTGCAACATTTTCACAAACTCTTTGGTCTCTATACTTTCTTTCAACAACTCCAACTTTGTCTGTTATAAGACTCTTCAAAGCATCTGAGT